CGAAATTAGGTATTATTATTGTTCCATTGGGTTCCTAGTGGAATATAGGGCTTCAACTGCACGTTCTTACTTGCCACTTCTGTCTTGCTTCTGCTGTACTTTTCACCTGCACCATCCATGTTAGTTTGTCCATACTGTTTCAACTCCTCTTCACACCATCTCCTCCATGTCACCCACACTTGCACTGACGTCCCACTCGCCACTTCCCTGTAGGCCTGGTTCCACTCGACCAACAGCCTGACGTGCGCGCGATGTCACCCAGCGGCCCAATGGCCTCCTCAGCGAGTAGTGTCCAATCCACTCTTCTGTCCACTTTCTCCTGCATATTTGTTGGTTGGCGATTGCTTCTTGTTTTTCTTCGTCCCATCCATAGTTTCTCATAGTTGGTGATTCTTTCCAGTCCGACCCGGCCCGGCCCGGCCATCTGATTGATCTTCAGTATACATCCAGCGAAGACAGTTGTTGTTGATGATGAAGGTGTGCAACAGGCTGTTGGTGGAAGTATTCTTTGTGACCCGCCCGCCAACTTTCTGTCTGATCCGTATAGAAGAGCTGACTGACTTGATGTTGTTTGTATTGAATTGAATCCGACGGAATTTTGTTGTTGATGGTGGCTGAGTGATGAAGATTTCCAGATTGGTTTCAGGTTGTTGAGTGAATGTGTTTCTCGCGCACCACCCGATTCTCGCTCGATTTGACATCCTCGTCCGTTCCGACTTCCTGTAGTTGAGACAATGCTCAATGCTAGATAATGAAGTAACCTCTTTCAAATCCCTCCCGTTGTGATGATGATTGACACTGGATGTTGCTGTTTTTGTTGGTTGGTTCGTTGGTTATTTTCATGACCTCTGTCTTGTCTATGTTCACCTGGAGTCCCGTCTTCGCCGGCTGCTTCTTCGACCAATTTGTCGGTCGGTTTTCTCTTGTAATTCTTCGATTTTGTGTGACATCAAGCATAAATCATCCGCAGAATCCAGGTATTCTAGGTTCTTCGCCTAGACTACTAGCTTCCTAGTTTTCTAGCCGGTCCCAAGCCCGGATAAAGAGGGAAGGTTGGGGCGTGGTGCTACCAACTCCACCCCGAAAACTAAACCAAACCGCTACTGAAAGTTTAATGCACAGACGAAATTAGGTGGTTTATATTTAACTCCCGAAGGAGAAACAGGGTTGGTTTTGAAGACATAGTATACTTCAGCAGTACTGAATGCTCTTTATGCCATCGTATTTCTTAGGTATTGTGTTACCCCCGAGGAACTGAAGTTGTAAGAACAAGGCCTTGAGTTTAGATTCACATTCTTGTCGATGAAAATCTCTGGTTAACCACTTTTTTCACTTAGCAGCTGTTTGGTAATATTAGGTAGGCTCTTCATTTAAACATTCCTCAGTGCAGATTGCTCTTGCTCTGTGGACAAAGCACTTTCTTAGATCGCGTTTGCGCTTCAAATGTACGAAGTTGGAAAAAAAATGAGTATACTAACTAACATTAACAATATAACTGTCTATACCTCATTAGAACAAGATATATAAGCGAACAATATTGCTGTTTTCAATTAGATCTTCTTCAGGCTTTACTCTAATTTACATAGATTTATATATAAACATTTTTAACCAGTGACGGTGATTTTAAGGATCAAATAATAATAATAATGTGCCGAACGAAACGTTGGAATTAATCATTTAAATTTCGCTGAGATTTTACAAATATAACTTTATAAATGTGGTAAGTGTTTTGAACGTAGTTAATAGCGATGATTATAATGATAATAAAATATTGATAATAAGGTTTATGCAGATGGCGATGAGAATAACATAGGTAGTAATATGTGTGTGTATATGTAGACAATTCAGTAAATAAATAAACTAGGTCAAATCTTAAAAGTTACGTAATACTAAAGGTGGGTGAAGCTGACAGATAATCAGAGTTTAAATAAATATCATAAAAGTACCAAGGAGATAGAAAATAAGAAAGGGTGGGAGGGTTTCGATTAGAATTCACCTAGGCCAGGCAAGGGAGAGACAAATTAAATATTAAATTAGATATTAAATTTCGGCCTATTGCAATTACTTCCCCCTTTTTAAAATTGATGGAAAAATTACTTTTACTTCGTCTTGAACCCGCTTTGAAACCTTTTAATGATCCTAAACAATTTGCATACAAACATGGTAGAAGTACCTTGGATGCTGCGGTTGTCTTATATCACAATGTTGTCTCTTGTTTAGACAAAGGTGCTAAATATGTTCGTAGTGCTTTCTTAGACTACACATCTGCTTTTGACTCTGTACCTAGGGGCCTTTTGTTAAATAAGCTATCGTTGACACAAACAGGATCCTGGGCTAAGAGTTGGTTGCATTCCTATTTTTCTGATAGAATGCAGTATACTGTATATAACGGCAAATCTTCTTCTACCTCGCTTACAAAATCCGGTGTTCCACAAGGTGCTGTCCTCTCTCCTTTTCTTTTTCTTTCTTCCTACATGACCTGCCTCATTCAAACGAAACTAACTTTGTCAAATATGCAGATGATCTGACTGTATCACTGCCTATCACTTCCGAGTCTGACAGCTCCAAACTTAATAGCTTTCTGTTGGACATCAACAACTGGTCCAAGTCAAATGGTCTTATATTAAATCCTTCCAAATGTCAGGCGCTTGACTTTACTTTCAAGCATCGACGTGACTTACTTGAACTAGTTAACTCGCATGATCCCTGTAGCATAGATGGCACGGAAATTGAAACCAAATCAAGCATTAAATACCTTGGATTAGTTTTTTCCTCTGACCTTTCATGGTCATCCCATATCTTATCTATCTCTAAGAAAATGTTTCGTCTTACCTTCTACATTAAAAAGTTAAGACAATCAGGTATCAACCAACCTTTAGTTTTGCAATTTTTAAACTCCTGTATTTTACCTATTGTACTCTATTGCTCTCCATTAATCTTTCCTGGGCTTCTCAAAAAAGATTATATCATATTACGAAGAGTATTAAATGCTGTGAGTAGAGCTTGTGGTCTGCCACTGCATGAGCTCGCTAATACTATAGTCGAGAGGCATATAAATTCCTGTACGAAATGGGCAAAGGCTATAATGTCAGACCCTCTGCACCCCCTTTATTCACACCTGTCCCCTTGTATCTCATCAGGTAGGACGAGAAGTCAATATAAAAAGATATATGCTCGTACTACTAAGTATAGAAATTCTACAATACCCTATTTAGCGCGTACTTTATGTGACGAAGACTCTGTTAGACGTGAAACTTACAAGTTACTATGTAATTAGCACAGTGAATCGACCCTTTTATCGTTCATCTTTCTGTATTTTATGGTGTCACACTTTCTATCGTTTAAATCGTTACTCTGCTATTTATTTTTAGTTGGTATTACTATTATTACTACAATTTTGTACTTTATACATATTTTTCTCCGTATGGCACACAGTATTTTGCTACGTAGCTGCTATAACAATCGTTTTATTACTATTATGTAATGTGTATTTTTAATTTTTTTTGTCGTTTTTGAGTAAATTAGATGCAATATTGTACTGAATGCTGAAAATTCCTTGCTGTATCATGAGTACTGTTTTTGGAATAAAGCTATTATTATTATTATTATTATTGTTATTATTAAATGTAGAACAAACTTCTTTTGTTGTATGCAAAGGCACTAGAATTGTTCTCTCGAATTCATTACCATAGCTTCGGCTAAATGTTAAAAATGGGTTCTGATTCCGTTCGAAAGACTTGATGGAATGCGATAAGTTGAAGGCACTATTTTTGTCCACTTGGTGACCACTGTCATCAATCAAATGAGCCAAAACAGAACTTCGTATAGATTTTATTCGACCTTTTCCAAACCATGAAGGAAGATGCACATTAATGCGTTTGTTAAGCTGTCTATTTGTTCGGCCTATATAGCTTTCTCCACAGGAGCAACTAAATTAATAGATACACATCGAAGTGGCACAACTAGGTAGCTTATCTTTCACTTGAGTAACCAAAATTGGTCGGCTGGAAAATGACAAATAGAGGGTGGCGGCAGTATAAGTCCGTTTTATTGCTCTCGATAATCTCTGATGTAAGACTTCGCTAGCCACGTCCCCATTAAGCTGCAGTTTCATGAACAGTTATTTCTTTTTAACTATTGTCAGTTTCTCTTTATTGTACCTGGTATTCATGTGTGTCCTTACAAATCTACTAGGATAACCCATTTGGACCAGAGTATTTTGGATGTATCCTAGCTCATTTTCTAGAGTCATCTGTACAGATACATCTTGCTCTATTCGTCAGGCATCTGACCAAATTGATTTTGTATCGGATTAGTACAAAACTGAGGAAATGTGTATATTGTCTTACAGATGTCGGTTTTTCTATAGACATCTCTCTGTGAGTGAACCATCCTCTCTTCTGCTCAATTGGACGTCAAGGAAATGTAGTCTACCATCATGTTCTTCTTTACAAGTGAAGATGAGCGATGGATGTACATTATTAAACATTTTTAACATTTCATTCTTGTCAGCTTTCACATCAAGAATAATAATAAACGTATCATCAGCATAACGAAAATAAGAATCAGTCTTCTGTATTACTTGTTTCAATTGACCATTTTCAATCTTGGCAAGAAAGAAATCTGCTTAAATTGTCTCCAATGGAGAACCACCCATGGCAATACCATCGATTTGTCTGTAATAAATAAAGGTTGTTGAATGTGAAGTGTACATTCATAGTACGTCTTAAAAGCAACTCTTTCAGACTAATAATAACTGGAATTCCGATGTCGAACTGTTTTTCTAGTATCTGTTGGCATATGAATTCCACAGTTTCCATAAGTGGTACATCTAAGAAAAGCATTTGCTTCCCATTTACACTGATATCATCCACGTTAGCAATAAATTCAAAAATGTCTTTAACACTATAATTTACTACCATCTTGTATAACAGTTGGATATTGATATTTTAATCAATAATTATTATTATCATTATTGAATTTAATCTATAACTTAATTAACACGTCTGACAGTAAATAATATTCTTAATTATTATTATTATTATCATTATTTATGTACAAGTATTAGATAAACTCTTCGTCATTTTACAGTTCTTTTCAGTAGTAAATTGCTAAAAACAGGTTTTAACACAAATGCTTACGAATTCAAATCATAAAGGTGTCATGCAACATAAACCCATAATAAATATAAGTAAATATGGCGATTCAACAAATGAACAGAGCAAATATTCATTGCATAGAAATTATGGAGAACAACATCACAATGATGATAGGAATATAAATTATAACGAAGAAATGAATGATGACAACGATGATGATGATGTTGATGATAATAATAATGAAGATAATGTTAGAAAAGATTCTAAAAAATCTACCCAAAATCTTTCTTCTGAATTGTCTAGTATTAATGTAACTGGAGAAACTTCTAAAAAGAAGGGAATCAATCAATTAGAAGTATTATCTGTACATTCATTGAAATCTTCCACATCTGTGATGTCATCACCACCAGTAAATATGTCTACATCGTCGTCATCATCATCAACAACAACAACAACAGCGGAAATTTTAAATAATCCACCCATGTTACGTCGTGGTATAGCTTATCTTGATATGGATGATGGTGATTGTACTATTGAAGAAGATGATGAAGAAGATCAAGCTAATGAATATTTAAAACACTCTGTACATACTTCAAATTTTAATGTTTCAATGATCAGTAGTTGTTTAATGTTATCAAATTCCGCGGCACCACATATAAATTATCATTTACCCATAAATGATATATTTCATCATTTCTTACGTTGAATGAAAAAAGATGAACAACTTTTCATCATTAATATTGTGAGTTTTATTTAACACAATTGGTAAAAAAGAGTCATAAAATAATTATTATGATATATGTAGAAATGCTGGGTCAGGAATTTCCTAACTTTCTACATGTCATGCTTCATCCTCTATTCGTGATATTTACTAAACTAATTTACTTTCGAAAAGTGAAAAATGAATGGTAATTGTTTTACTAAGTTAATTCATTTCATTTACTATATGAATAAATACTGTGCATGCGTTCATTTTCATTTTTCCCGCTTCAAAAATAAATAAATTATATGATTTATTAAAACAAATATCAGTGAAATTTGATTTGATGTTGAAAATGGCCTTGAATTGGTTGAAGCTACACTGTGTATTCTTATTGGATTATACAAAAAGCTTGAAAATGAAGCATAAATGAAAAGTTTTAAAATTAAAATGCGATCAGAAGTAATCTGAAAACAGACGGAATAATAAAGTGCTTTCAGCGTCTAGTATGCAGGTAGAAGAATTACAGTTTTGTATAAATTTGCTATCGAAAACTCATTGGGATTTATGACTATAGCAGGGTACTCAAATATAAAAGACTTTGGGGACAGTAGGTCTGTCTGTTTTCGACAAAAAACCTTGCACCGGTGTGCAGCGGTTCGAGTCGCCACACTCCCTCCTTGTAGCACACAAAGCAAGGGAAGAAAGTAAAAGAGATGCATAATATGGACAATAAACAGAGGCGCGAGACAAAGGAATAGTAATAATGAAGAACAATGTAGTTTCATTGGAAATCATAAGTCACAAGCAGTGGATACATCTGCGCCAGCCATTGATAACTACGATTTTGAGCCATATCACCAATTGTCTGCCTCGAGCCATTGGGTTTTATCGTCCCGAGGACCCCAACAAGCCAGTCAGGAAGTCTACATCTTCCTACATAACTGGCTGGCTTAAACTAACTGTTGTGCATTTCATTGACTGATGAAGTCATGTTTTGAACTGACCACCACTGGCTAACTCTTTTCCAACCTGATCCATCCTATGTCAGTTAGCTAACATTTCCCGTTGTCGAAGAAGGCGATGGCTATACATGCGTAACAGATGTCCTAACTATCTCAGTTGATGTAACTTCACAGCCTCGTCTATTGATTTCCCCTCCTTACCTAGCACTCACTCGACCGATGCCTAACCTCAATACTGCTCACCTTATTATACCATTTCACACAGGAGATAGAGCGCAGGCACCTATGATCAAAGACAGCCAATCTTTTCATATCTTCCACTTTCGATGGCCAGGTTTCACAGCCATCCATCCTCCTTTATGGCGACAGTAAAGAATAGAAACCAAAGTCCAGTGACCTTCAGCCAAACAGTTAAATCGCCCACCATTATAAATGGATGCTGTTCATCATCTTTGTTGCAAGTTTTGCACTAAATTTGGGTTTCGACTTTTCTGTGGAAAATGGGTTGATGGGGGGGCGGGGGTTGGTACTAAAACATGCATATTTGGTGCATGGATAATGGCTCTTCAGAAGGAATACCAGGCTATTTATTGATGGTCATGCATCCAGATGCATTCATTGTCATAGCAAGAAGTAGTCTGTCAGAGTTGATAAGTCGTACATTATGGTGAATTTTTTTTGGCACTTTTTTCTCGAAATCGATACCTCTGCCTTAGTAAAATATTACGTCTATACCATAGTTGGCTACTGACACGACCATTATCTGTTACAACTGCAGAAACAGAGAATATTGAGATGTCAACAGTGCAGTGGTATCACCACTGCAGGACTAGTGTCTCACAAAGGATCAATGAAATTACTTCTGCACTTGAAGGAGTTGGTGTCGTTGTTCACACTGATGAAACAGTGTACTTATTAAACGAAAAATGAATCGCCGCTGTAGGAGAAGACCAAGAGCATCATGTTTGGTTGCTGGGAATGTACGATACAAATCTTCGTAAAGGGTTTGTAGGATGCATGTTTTAATACCAAATACACAACGACTAGTCTCTCGAGGCACTGTCATCGTTAGGCTGTATCCATCATAAAGTCAATCATTCTTCTGAATTTATGGATCCTATAAGTGGAACTCATACAAATCCTATTGAAGGATTCTGGATTCATGATATCATATATAACCAATTAGGTGAATATTTTATCGACATTGGTTTGATATGTTTATAGATATTGCCATGAGAGACTGGTTTCGATTATAGCAGTATATTAGAGATATATGCTGTGTATAATTCATCCTTATTACATATACATCTTATAAATACACTTTTTTAATACAATAAGTGCCACCTCTTACACAAAACAATTTGAATGTTTGCTTCAAGGTTATTTGACTCTGGTGCCTATTCTTTACTGTTGCCCAAACTTTCACTAACAGATACCACCGCTCATTACTGAAGATGCGGTGGTTGGACAGATAGAAAAAAAAATAAGAAACCCTGGCAATCAACGGCCAACAATCGAATACTTAACAATCATGCAGAAGGGGATGAAGACGAACTGAGAATACTGCGAGAAAAAATCAAAGTAGAGTAATACGTCAAGTTATCGAGTGGAAGCCAGAGGTTGAGCGTCTGAAGGTGACACTGAGATCATATGATGGGTAACTGAAAGTTTGTGGGCAGTTATACAGCTGATTAAAAACAATGGCAGTGAACGCAGTGGAATGGGAAATGTGTTGCTGGAAATCTATATTCCACTCGGAGTCCAACGGACGAATAATGATAATAATATTGATGTGGTTGTGTTCACTGAGCTGGATAGTTAATTTGGGAAGCTTTCATCGCCCTACTAGGCAACATCTTCAGCGCATACTTCAATTTGAATTGATTTGAGCTTTTATATTTCTCCATGAGTTTATTAATCATCTCTCCTGGTGGGTGACCTTGGACGTGGTTAGTTGTTTTTGTGTGTTTTCACACCTTCTAGGCTACTTACTTGTATTGGAGCTGATTGTTTCTTTGACTTGAACTTTTACCCTTTGTGTGTGAGGTTTCTTTCTTATCGGTTGGACGTCTTCCAAAGAATGGATATCCACGGAATTTTATCAAAAGACATATACCCCCAAGCCAACCTATCAAACCAAAAGCCCCCACGGAAAGCACAGAGAAAATCTCCCTACCATATATAAAGGATATCTCGGATATCACTACAAGATTCTTCAAACCTTTAGGAATTGACGTCGTATGCAGACCAACAAAGTCATTTCACTCGATTCTGTGTCAACCAAAAGACTCAACAACGAAAGAAGATAAAACCAACATCATCTACAAAATTGATTGTAACAACTGTGAAAAACACTACATTGGTCAAAGTGAACGTGCCCTTCGTCTTCGTATCCATGATCATAAACTAGCCATCAAAAGACATGATATCCATTCCCTCACTCATACCGATGGGTACAGACAACTACGGACATCAATTAGACTGAGACAACGTTCAAATACCAGACGGAAGAAACACCAAGAATGCTAGAGAATTTTTAGAAGCCTGACTGGTATTTCAGTGAGTCATCAATCAATAGACACATCAAATTAGACAAAATTCACCAACCGATAAGAAAGGAACCTCACACACACAAACGGTCAAAGTTCAAGTCAAAGAAGCAATCAGTTCCAATACAAGTAGTCTAGAGGGTGTAAAAACACACAAAACTAACCTGAGTCGCATTCAAGGTGGTCACCAGGAGAGACGACTAATAGTGAACTCGTGGAGAAATCTAAAAGCTAACTTCAATTGAAATTGAAGTATGAGCTGAAGATGTCGCCTAGTACGGCGATGAAAGCTTCACAAATTGACTATTCAGCTCAGATAACACATGGATTTATAACTGTAGAGCCTGAAGAAGAAGTTATCCCAAACAATTGCTCGCTCAAAATCTTGTTTTGACACAAACAAAAGTTAGACTGGAAAAAAGAATCAGCTGGAATAACAACAAATGCAACAAAATCCTCAGATATTTAAGGCATAGGTGTTATGTACTAGTTTTCCCCGTCGCCAAATTGTTATGTACTCGTAGCTAAATTATTGTTATGGGCTGGCCGAGAAACTAATAGTCCTGACGCGAGAAGGCGGAAATCAGAAGACCACTAGGTTTGCGATGATACTTCTATTGTCCAAACACAAGGAGACGAAAATAAATGGTCTCACACCAAAATGGTAAGTAAGTAAAGTAAAGTAGTTCACACAAATTGTGAATGAGAAATATATATGAATGTTCCAGACAAATCATTAGACAGTCTTAACATGAATGGCTAATTATAATGAAGTATCGATCCAATTATACATAGCGAAATATAACAGACATGTCAACAACCAACATATATGGATATATGTCACCAAGCGACGGACTGTCAACAAACACTCATATTATATATAATATAATATAAGGGGAATATACATTGATAAAGGAGACAAGTTCATACAAGTGAAATGGTCACAGACTAAGAGAGCAAATAGAAAGAGAGACCACCATACACACACATATAAATATATATATGTGGATACATATCAATAGGTAAAACAAGTCTGATTGGTTCTCCGACCTCGTAAAATAAGGCCATGAACAAATGAATTAAAAATTGTCCAATCAGTTTACCGTGTCACTACATGCATAAATCATGGCTTCAAGGCTAACAGAGAAGGTTATCAGCCTTAGCACCTCCCTTTTTTTTGTTCATTCCTGATTAGTGGACCACTATGTGACACTTTATAGGTAACTGTATATCCCTTTTCTATGATTTAACCCATATATATGTATATATAAACGAAATAGATAAGACTGTCGTATTAATAAATGTGTAAAACTTGGGCACTGTGGTAGTAAGTAGTTCCATATTATTATATGGAGGATTTCACCATGAGCTGACATCAGTTAGAGAACCACTGGAAAACCAGCTGGGAGTACTGGACAGCTGTTTCGTCAGCCTAGTTTGGGACTCTTTATCAGTATGCACCGACCGGGGTTCGAACCCAGGTCCTTCTGGTAGACCATTGAGCCACTGGGACCCGATCCAATGGTTATTGAATTCTAACTTCTTCCAGTTCACTTCCAATGGTTCTCTAACTGATGTCACCTCATGGTGAAGTCCTACACACAACCAAACACAATCCCTACAAAACCAATACTTGAAAATTCCATATTAGTTTGTTTGTTAGATATATCACATAGTTAAACAGTTTTATGTACTGGATAACAAAGATTCGAACAAAATTTATTGCTGTTCATAATCATATCATCAATTATAGTCACACGACTTCGAAAATT